CTCTTGTTTTCCTACTGTTATCGAGATAATGAATAAAAAGCCAACTATGCAGATGGAGGAATGAGGGAGGGCGGAGAGGAAGGAAGGAAGAGGAAGACGGGGAGAAAGCCCTCCACTCCATCCCGGAACAGCGCAGTGCCCAGAAAGAGGCTTGGCTGCTCATCTGCTGGTGGCAGGCTACGACTAGTTGGCTTCCTGGAGGAGGAGGCCACCCATTCCTCTTGAGGGGTTGGAGTGGAGCATGCCAGCACGGTCTGGCATCAGCCGACCAGGGCCTTCACCTTCCTGGGATTGACAGGCCCCGGGAACTGGATGGGAGCTGCAGTCTCCCATCACGACCACGGACAGCCTTTCCATTTTTTCAGGGGCTCCCTGAACCCCATGTCTCCTATAGACTTGAGTTTAAAAATTTGGGGGTCAGGGACCGGCAGATGACGTAATGGTTACATCGCTGGACTCCCATGTAGTCCGTTGCTGTTCACGTCCCAGACCCGGTGGCTTAAAACTACGCCGGGCGCGTGTGCGTGCATGTCCAAGATCCTGAGAGGAACACGGAGGAGACAGGATTGCGGTGTGGCCACCTGCCGGGGAGTGATTTATCGCTTTCTATCTCTCTGTCTCCCTCTTTCTCTTTGGCGAGCACACAGACTCTATAGCCAAAATAATCTCAAAAACAAGACAAAACAAAACAAAAAAACACCACGGGTGTTGGGCCAGCCGGTGGCGTGGTGGTTAAGGCAGCTGGATCTCAAATGGCCGGCTGCAGGGTTCGAATCTGCACTGGATGGCTCAAAGAACATGCGGGGCACATGTGTGTGCATGTCCAAAATCCTGAAAGGAGAATGAAAGAGAAGGGATACGGGCGTGACCAGCCCCCTGGGCCTTTCTCAGTTTCTCTCTGTCTCTTCTCTCTCCCAGTCTCTCTCTGGAGAGTGCACATGCTCTCTTAAAGAAAAGAAAAGAAAAGGTTTCAGTGACAGTTGAGCTCACGAGTTCATCTCCACGCTGAGCTCCTCAGAGTAAGTTCTCAGCAGTGGTGCTGCTGCCTTGACCATGGTCTTGCCTTCTCTCCTTCTAGTTATGTATCCACTCATTTTATTTTTTATTATTTTCACTAAAGAGATATTTACTTCATTTTAAATGATGATGATGATGATTATTTTAACTTGACCAGAGAGATGGGATGGGGGGAGTGAGAAAGTTAGCCACCAGGTCCAGGATTTGAACCGCACTTGGCCATGAGGGAGTCTAGCACCTTAATCACCACGCCACCTCCTGGCCCCTATTTTAACTCATTTCAGCATATCCTTAACTAGAATCCAATACTTGTCTGTCAGTAAAACATGCATGCGGTAATGCAGTCTTAGTTGCACCTACCCACGTCACTCCAATGCCCCACCCCAGCGTCTGTGATCCCGCTGGCCTCGGGCATTTCCCAGCTCACAGGGCAGCTGCGGAGGTGGAGGCAGGGTCCTGGAGGCAGGGTCCCGGCGCCGCCTGGTGGCTGTTCTGGGCATTGCAATCATAGGTGCGGGCGGCCCCCGCCGGTGCCAAGGTGGTGAGTCCCAAATGCCTGTCTTCCCAGGTCAGGCTCCAGATCTCTGAGCACCTGCTGGGCACCTCGGTGATTCCAGTGTGGTGGGGGCACAGACTGAGCTGCCCCTGAAGGCTCCCAGGAGAGGGAGACACAAGACCAGCTCCAGGGTGGAGGTGGAGCCCAGGGCGGCAGCTGTGATGGGACCTGGACATGACATTCTGGGAGGTCTCCCTGGGAACGTTGTCGCAGCAGGGGTTGGAAGGGAGAGAAGGTGCCAGAGGCAGAAGGAACAGCCTGAGCAAAGGGTGGAGACAGGACCGTGCAAAGCAGAGCTTCCTAGACCCTGACGAACGACAGGCGATAGTTACAGTAACAGGAAAGCCACCGAGGGCCGGGGGTCTTCTCCCGTCTTCATCTCAGCTCCTGCCCCCGCTAGGGCCGAGGTCCTCAGCGGCTCCTGACCGGCCTCCCAGTGCCGTGCTCTTGGGCAGGCCAACAGAACGTGCAGAGGTGGTGTCGTGGCCGCTGTGGGGCCAGGCTGTGAGGTGGCCTTCCGGCTCTCACCTTCGTGCGAGGGGAGCCAGCTCCACGTAAGAGGTACGTCTGGGGCCATGTGGAACGTCTCCTGGGAGTGCCCAGAGAGGATGTCAGGAGAGGCCGCGTGGAGGAAACACACAAAAGGCCACATGCTCAGAGCCCACATGGAAAGCCTTGTGGTGGAGAAACTGCAGGAGGAGGCCATGCAGCGGCCACGTGGAGGAAGAGCCACGTGAGGGAGAATTGCAGAGGCAAAGGGTGGCGGACCCATGACCCGTCTCCCTGGCTTCCCGGGCCATCCTGGCTGAGGTGCCACCCTCGGGACGTCCCAGCAGCAGCCAGCCCTGGAGCACAGACATGGGTCCCTGGCGCCCTGTCCAATTCCTCGCCCACGGGATTGTGAGCAAGCCACACGGTGGTGGTTTTATGCCACCAAGATTTGGGGTGTGCTGTTACATTCCAGGGCACCCCAGTCCAGGCTGCGGCTGCTCCCTTATCTCTCTTCTAGCAGGAGGCTCTACACCCCCAGACAGGCGCTTGGGTCAGTTCCCGTCCCCCCCTTTCCACTGGGTTCACCTCTGCACACTCCGGCCCGCACCTGTCCTTCATTTGGTTGATAGATGCAGATCGTTCTAGAAGTGCGAAGTGCACTGTCCAATACGACAGTCACACGCCACATGAGGTGACCTAAATTAAAAAAATGTAGGGGCCAGGAGGTGGCGTGGTGGTTAAGGGGCTGGACTTCCACACGGCATGACTGTGATTTGAGTCCTGGGCCTGGCAGCTTGCTTTCTTACTTTCCCTCTTTCTCTCTCTAGTGAATAATAATAAATAAATAAATACAATTAAGTGAATAATTCTTAATAAGTACCTAAATTTTAAAAATGTAATTAAAACTCACATTTAAAAAACCAGCTCTTGGTCTATGCTGACCACATTCCAAGGGCCCTATGAAGCTAAGTGGGCTTGGGAGTGGCCAGGAGGTACAGCGGAGATCTTATCGTTCTAGAAGGTTCTGCCAGACAGTGCTGGTCTAGATGCTCTCCCATAGAGGAGAGGATTTTTTTTTTTTAATTTAGGTTTTTGCCATAGAACATGCATGGTTGCCAGAGAAAGGCAGACGGGGGTGGGGATGAGAAATAACCCCCGGGGAATGGCCACGCTGCCATCCCTTCTCTCTCTCCCTTCAGGATTTGGGGCACGCGCAAACGTGCCCAGCATGATTTCCAGCCCGCTCAATCTAACCCGAGTTGGCCAGGGGGTCCCTAGAGCCTTAGCCATCATGCCACCTGCTGCCCCTGCCTTGTTCTTTTTGGTATCCTCTGATAAGGAGGCAGCCAGTGTCATGGCATGAGTTTTTGCGAAGCATTTGCTATGGTCCCTTTGCTGTTATGGGTATCTCTGTGGCATAAAAGCCACAGAGCCCTAATGTTCCTTGGCCCTGTGGTGTTTCCCATGTTGTCAGGTCTAGCCAAATTACACCTGCAGGCTGCACCGCCACTACATGGATAAGAGTGCCTGTCTTGGGATCAGCAGATGGTGTCATGGTTATGTCGCTGGACTCCCATGTAGTTGACTGTGGTTCGACTCTCGCATCCGAAGGCTTAAACCTCACACTAGGGTGTGTGTGCGTGAGTGCCTAAGATCCCGAAAGGAGAATGGAGGGGAAGGGATTGTGGCATGGCCACCTCCCCCAGGGTTGATTTTTCGCTTTCTGTCTCTCTGGTGAGTGCATGCACCCTACAGCAAAAATCTCTCTCTCTCTAAAAAAAAAAAAAAAGAGTACCTGTGTTTCCACACCGCTGTCAGCACTGTGCCTTATGAGTTATTTACATTAAAAAACTCTTAGCTAATGGGCCAGCAGGTGGCATGGTGGTTAAGTTGCTGGATCCCACATGGCTGACTCCATGATTTGAGTCCTGGACCCGGCAGCCTGAAAATCACACCAGGTGCATGTGCATGCATATGCATGTCCAGCATCCTGAGAGGATTCCATTCAGAGGAGGGACTGTGGTGTGGCCATCCTTGCTGTGTGTGTGTGTGATATCTCAATTTCCCTCTCTCTCTGTCTCTCTCCAGCAAGAACAAGTGCCGTACGACAAAAAAAGATTTAAAAATAATCTGAGCTAATGGCAAGGATTTTGCAGATCAAGCCTGCCCTGCCCCACCCTCCTGTCCTGTGTCAGTGCCAGGGTGGCGTGTGAAGCGCTACCTTGTTCTTTAAAATAAAATTGTGATGGAACATACAGCACGGCAACTTCCCCATATTAGCCTTTGTATCCAGCCCAGGGCCGCCGGGCGCTGGCATGGTGCCGGTCACCGCTGTCCCCGGGACTCTCGCCTTCCCACGTGGAATTCTGGCAGCAGGGAACCCTAACGCTGCCTCCTGGCCCCTGTGGCCACCATTCTCCCTTCTGTCTCTAAGGATGGGACCCGTCCGGGAACTCCACAGGAGGAAGTGGGTGGCACCGTCCTCCGGCTTCTGGCTCCTGCACTCAGCACAGCGTCCCCCAGGCTGGCCGCGCTGCAGCGTGGGCCCGAACCCCCTCCTCCCTTGTGAGCTGACTGATGCTCTGTGGGATGCACGCTCCGTGTAGCCGGTTGTCTGTCCGTGGGGTCGCTCCCACCTGCTGGCTGCTGGGAATAACGCCGCCCTGAGTGTGTGGGCACCGTGTCTCTGCATCCCCGCTTCCAGTCCTTCAGCCCATGTGCCTGGAGTGGAATTGCTGGGTCACGTGGTGTTTCTACAATCAATTTTTTTTAGAGGGTTTTGCCTTAGGGCATGGACGCTCACTGGAGAGAGAGAGAAAGAGAGAGAGAGAGAGAAAGAGAGAGAAAGTGAGAAATCATCCCCGAGGGGAGATGGCCACACTGCAATCCCTTCTCCCCCATTCTCCTCCCAGGATCTCGGGCACACACACATATATGCACATGTGCCGGTGTGATTTTCAAGCCACCGGGTCTAGGCCATATGGGAGTCCAGCAACGTAACTGCTATGCCATCTGCTGGTCCCTCCCTATTGACTTTTAAGAAAATAATTAATTTCATTTTAAGTTATTGTTATTATTAATTTTATATAGGGCACATGTATTCACGAGAGAGAGAGAGAGTGAGAGAGGGAGGGAGAGAGAGGAAGCCACAAGATCTAGGACTTGAACCGTGATCAGCCATGTGAGATTCCAGTGCCTTAGCCACTTTGCCACCTGCGGGCCCCTCTATGTTCAACTTTTTGAGGCACCACCATAGTTTCCCATGGCAGCTGCCCTATGGCCCCAATTGCCAAGTATTCTAACCAATACTTGTTAGTTTATTTTTAAAATTTAAATCGATTTCTCTCATCAGAGAGAGAGGGCGAGAGCAAGCACTCCCAACGGGATCTTACCTTTCTTAAGAGAGGTTTATGCTACAGGGCGTGGGCTTGCCAGAGAGAGAGAGAGCGAGAGACAGAGAGAAAGAAAGCAAAAAATCACCCCCAGGGGATATGACCATGCCACAGTCCCTTCTCCTCCAGTCACCTCTTGGGATTTGAGGCATGCACACACATGTGTCCAGTGTGAGTTTGAAGCCGCCAGGTCCAGGACTTAAACCGTGGTCGACCATGTGGCAGTCCAGTGATGTGACCACTGAGCCATCTATTGGTCCTCCCAACAGGATCTTGATGCCACAAGCCACCCCAGCCTCAGCGGTCCCAGATGACGGGCACGCGCGAGCTGGTGTCCTCAGGGAGGTGTCTGGACCCAAGCGCAGGGGCTCCCTGTGCAGGCTGGCTGTCACCACACAGCCTATTGTTTCTTTGTTTCTTTTTGATGGTAGCCATTTGTTTTTTCCTTAAATAATTATTTTGTCATTATTATTTTAAAAATTATTTATTTTTTACTTAACTTTATTTATTCATCCATTTTAATTTGATCAGAGAGGGACAGAGAGAGATAGAAAGAGAGAGAGGGAAAGTGAGAAAGTAAGTTGCCAGGTCCGGGACT